CATGTTTTTCTCTATGGTGCGACTCACGACTATGATCAACGGGAATTGGTTTGTTGTCAAACACGGTCCTTTAGAGTTTAGATGAAATCACTCGGAATGGGCAGAAATTTGATGCTCAGGCTGTTAAGCGATTCGCACTGGGTGAATCTGGTTCACATCTGTTCTCGGTCAATTACCAAACGTTTCGCGCGGCCAGATTAAACGTAGATGACAGCAATACGGTGAAGCTGGCAATGCGCCGTTTTTATTGACTGCACATATGCTTACGCAGCTGTCATCAATCATTGAAGTGTCAAGCTGTGAAAGTTCTTCTCAGTAGGTTAGTTCAATTCATTCCAAAGTTGCATCGATATTTTACTAGAGGCTCATATTTTTCAAAGCAGGTTTTGGTCCATCGTCTTTTTGTAAATCATGAAGATTTCATTTCCCTTTCCTACTCAACCATTCAGCGAAAGTGTCTATACACACGTATCTCAATATGGCAACGAATTCTCTTGTCAGAGAGCGGCCCCATGCTCTTCTTCATTTAAATATCTAGTCGTGTTGCACTACCACACTAAAGTCAGCTATCAGATGGGTAAAGACTATTGCAGCCCTAAGAAGCACTCATATCAGAACTTTATCAATCGTCTTTCGGGATAACTTCACCAGAACGCTACAATATCTCTATTTTGTGTAAATGAATAAATTGCTCTCCCTTTTTCGGCTTATTGCAAGAAACCTTATCATCGCTGGAATATGGCTTTTCCTTCATCTCGTGAATCTGAAATTTTAGGGCCGTTTTTTTCATGTAGCTAACAGTGCAGTGCTGATCTCCATTTTGTCCCATCCGCCACTATTGTCCTATTTTAAAGGCAAAGCCTACTGCATGTGGCGAACATATCGTGTACATTCTTGTTTCTATCCCATAGAATAGCACTCATTTATCAACCTCGGAAAGAAGTAGGGTGAGTAACCTTTACCAGGGCTCGAATTTGGGACCTCTATGGTCTGAATTTGACGCACAACCAACTGAGTATCCATCTTCACCAGTTTGACAGGTGGTTTTTGTTCTTTGGATGACATTATTTTCGATATTTATGTGGTCATTTGCGCAGTCATAAGGTAGCTTTGAAAATTCAACCTCAAGAGTTGCTATTATCAGGGTTAGAAAATAGAGCATTTGTTTTCTTGAAGCTTTTATATGTTACGTTAATACTGCATATTACATAGTATTAAGTATTCTTTGCAATGTTTCACTGTGATACTGTAGAATTAAGTGCAACTGATAGAAATTTTAAATTTAATAAAAAAGAACAAAAAAACCACCTTTCAAACTGGAGAAGATTGATGACCATTGACGAAAGCGAACGCTTTGCCTTAACTTTTGCAAAGCCAAAGAGAAATGCAAAGGCCTCAGAGATCTTTCAACATGTGGCAAAAAACGCCACTTCCTCCAATGTTTAGATAGGCTAGCAACCTTAAAAGAAGAAACTAGCTGACGAGACGAATCAAGGAAGTCTTTAATTATTTATTCCTGCAAAAATGTCAACAGGGACAAAGGATAAGGACTCTGCGCGTTTTGAACACGTCTTATCGACCACGTGACCCAAAAGCTGTTTAAGCAGCAGAATGGGCCAAACGCACACCTTCGGTTGAAGAGGCCACCATATCTACGGACCACATAGCCAACTGTAGAAATTGACCCGGAATATCCGGGTGAGACTCCAGGCTAAATCATTTGATTAACGA